TCTGATGACATGTGTATCCTTAGCACTTACCTACAGTTCATTTATACCCATTTTCGATTCAATTTGGTAAGGATTGAGTCTTTAATAGCGGTGCTTTGTAAGGCCTCAGAAATTCTGAGGACCAAAAAATAAAATACCGAAGTGCGTTTTGCCAGTCAGATTTGATTTTTTTTGTTTGAAAGGACATTTTTCTAGAGTGAAATTTCATCCTCTACAACTTGAGTTATGTGGCATTTTGCCCGTAAACGCACGATTTCAGCGTAAAATCGGGTTTTTTGTATAAAATTGTGGTCTAAGTCTAAAAACCAGAATTTCACCACAAAATTGACCTTTGGCACCATTTAAAATGCTTGAAATTAGCCCAAAATTTGGCAAAAACGTTTTTTTACCAAACGTCATCGATTGCCGCCTGGGGAGCGCAACATTTCAGACTTTTATTTTTTTTGACGCACCCTAGGGTAGCTACGCCGCAAATCACTGATATCATACGAGGGGCTCTATTTCCCTCAAAATCTACAAGAACGTACGAGACTTTTTTTTATTTTTTATTTTTTTTATTTTTATTTTTCAAACCATTTGGACACAATCATTTGGAGAATGCGGTCTCCCCAAAAAGAATATAAGCACACGTATAATCTTTTACCGACGAAATTTTCAATTGATCTTATTTCTCTTTAAAAAAATTATTTATCCGTTCCATTTTATCAACAAAAAATTTTTTTCAAAAGGGAATTATAATTTTCGATTAATTTATTTTTTTTAAATTTATTCGAACCAGATGCACCCTTCACGAATGGTTTAAGCAAAAACATAAAATTACATACTGAGCAACTAAAGAAAAATAGTTGTTACAGTATTAAATCGTTGAGGAGATAAGAAAAATATGAATCTATTAATTCCTCATTAATACGTGGTATTTGAAAGATGCGCGCGTTTGAATTTGATATTCATATAAGAATGGAATCAAGGCAAATAATACTTATAAAGAAATAAGAAGCTATTTAATTCAAGAAAAGCACATCAAGGCAACGAGATTATATTTATTGCAGTGCGGCTGTGTGAACGGAATCCAGCGCGGTGGGTGGAGATGGGGCGAGGGGTGCAAACGGATTAAATACACCAAATGAAGCTGCCTGCGCTGCGTGACAACGCTGACCACAAGATGGGACGAAAATAAGTAGTTCCTGGATGAGTGGGCAATTCCGGTTTTATAAAGAGATCGGAAAATCTAAAAGGCGAAAGGACAGCGTGCGAAAAAGGCGTGACAAATTAGGGGATTGAGTTTGGACGCCTTTGCAATGGGTGACCTCGAAGCAGTGACAGGTAATCGGCTTGGCAGCGGTGTATGGAAAAGAGAGAAATTTTTGTCGTCTTGGGACCACCAAAGTCGGGACATCGTCTTATTTCTATCAATATCGGGACGGTCCCGATAGTGTTTCATGCAAGAAAGTACAACTTTTCTGGAGAGAGTCGAAAAACGGACAACACTCCTCGTAAATGCCAACCGGGGGCTACCCGTAACCGTTGTTAACTCCGAAGTCCCGACAATGATGGTACGTAGTTGAAGTCCCGACAATGATTCGAACTCCGTCAGGGGAGGGAGAGAGGGGGGAGAGAGAGAGAGAAAGGCCGCTAAAATAATTCTCAAATGACTAGGGCAGGCAAGTGAAGACATAATAATGAGTCTCGAATAACAATCAAAATACAATATTTATATTCAGTCTTAAAGATCACAGGAATCACAGAAAACACATAACTTCAGGTACTAAATAAAACTCATGAGAGAGAGATAAAAAAAGGGGTTAGTAGATAGACGATCTGTTCTGTCGTTGCGTTAGCAGAAAGTGATATTGCAGAAACAACACAAATCGGCTAACTGGAGTTCCTAAATTTAGAAAGCTACATAATGAACTAAAGGGTCTGCATAATTAGTGACAGATTGGCCGGGAACTCAACGGCCACAAAATAACAAAACACTTAGAGCCACTTTGGAGTTAAAAATAGAGATAAAACTTGCTGGGTCGAGAGAGCTGGGATTTTGGAAAAGCCGGGAACCTTAGGGGTATGGCAATTAAGTTGTCATTACCTAACAAGAAGCAAATACAAAACGATCTCACAGAAGGTGCAGCATAGCTGGATGGAGAAGAAGGTGTAGAGAAGCCTTGTAGGTGGTGACGCTCCAAAATCCAACTACGCTCTAGTTCTCGGTTGGTTTACCAACAGACAGCAACATGCCAGTTCACGACTGGGCTTCCATTCTGCAACTCGGATTTCCTAAGGGAAACCGGGGACCCTGGGAAATGATTCATATATGTAGTAAAAATTGTGGGCATCTCAGTATGCAAAATGCTTTTTCTAATGTTTAGGCCTGAAGGACAACAACACACATAAGCCATTTAAGTAAACCACGGAAATACACAGGCAATATGCAAATAGCTTAAATCTCAATATGGCTTGCATAGAATATAAATTAAGGCACAAGGTTTAATCACAGATTTGAGCTGAAGGCTCTTATTAAAAACACAATTAGCTCATTTCAAAATGGCTTACATGGAATATAAATTGAAACACTTGGTTTAATCACAGATTTGAGCTGAAGGCTCTTTCTAAAAACACAAGAAAACATATCATCAACTGGGGTCAAAAAGGTAGAATAAATTTGGCAACAATCGCCGTTTACCAACTTCTGGTCGAGACACCACCATTCCAGTAACCACTACAACTTGGCTACAAAATGATCACATAAGCACATCGAAATACAGCACACCTAAAGGATTTCTGAGATAAGGGGGATTCACAATATAAATTAGAAAAGGCTAAAGATTGAGGTAAGAAAAACTACTCAGTACTGGCACTCAAACCCAGGAAAACCAATACATGATTAGTGCCAGAAGGGCTTACTAAAAACGTGGGGGGGGGGGATAAGAATCTGTCATGCAGAACTACCATCAGGCCCGAAATCAAGTTATGGAGAAATAAAAGGGAGCACAACGCAAGAGGAGCTGAAAGCTCTGTCCACAAAGACTTACAGGGAACTTTAAGGGGGAAAATACAAACTTTACAATTATTAGGCTAGGCAGAAACGGGAAATCAGAGAAATAGGCCACTGCGTGCCATGAGTTGGAGAAGTAACACATTTTACTTATAAGCAACCAGAAAGTAGCAAACTAATCACTCACATACCCAAGACCTATCCACACAGGTCAGTCATTGCGCATCTTTTTGAGATCCACTCCCCTGCCC